ATGTTATTCATGTGCACTCAGGAGAATACTTCTATTGAAAATCCACTTTTGAACACAAATTTTAGTTAGTCTATAAAATATCCTACATCTATGCAGCTTCAGACCCATTCTAGTTCATATCGCATTTGCAGCTTGCATTTCCCCAATTAATGAATAATATTTGCACACAATTAGCGATAATGCGTTTTGCGTCTCAGCATTTGAGTTCAAGGAAACGTGCAAAATGGAGGCGAGGTTTTTGCACTTATGTAGATGGTAGTGCTTAGTGTTGCTTTTAAAAATGCAACCGTCTGCTCAGTTGGTGTGATGAGGGCTTACTAGCGATTTACTGATGTTCAGCGCAGTTTTAGAGTCGCCGAGCACGTGGCAACTGGGCTTGTCTTGCCGAAAAGATGCGTCGGACGACGCGGCCGCCACGTCGTGCGAAGAAGTCAGATCGAAGTCTACGCTCGACGTTACGTCTCTTTTCAATGACATCATCAGATTCAGAAGCCGAAGACGATGTGTACTCGTTATGTGTGCGTGACTCACCGTTTTGTATTGACATAGCACTGCCGGAGGATCGGACGTCTTTACGTCACATCGCTGGATTCGACAACACCGGCAACGTGCGCATATGGCCTGGAGGCGAGGCACTCGCTTACTACTTGTCAATCCGACCGCCACTGGTGTCGGGGAAATTGGTGCTGGAGCTAGGAGCAGGTCTCATTGGACTACCGGGTTTTATTGCTGCCATCTATGCAACACGGGTCAGAATTACAGACGGCAATGAGCATTCAGTAGCGTCTCTACGAGATATCGCAAAGCGAAATCCGCTCCCAAACGTTGAAATCGAACTGCTGAGGTGGGGAGCCGGGCCAGATGAGAAGAAATTCGACCTTATTCTAGCCGCAGATTGTGTATTTTTTGCAGAGTATCATGAAGACTTGGTCAATACATTTGATAGGTATCTTGCCAAAACAGGTCTTGTATATGTTTGCAGTCCAAAGAGAAAAGGTAGCTTGGATCGATTTCTTGAATATATTGAAGATGATAATAGATTCACATATCAGTTTATCCCCGAATTTGATTATATTATGGACGATTTGTGTATCCTCAAGGATGAGCAAAGAGATGCTGAATTACCGTATTTAATATCGCTCAAGCGTTGCCTACTGGATAACACGGCCAAGTAACATTTACTAGTAGTGCTGCCTTCCTTTTGTTTTGTTTTTGTTATTGTTGACTCAATAAAGTATATTTCTTGCGCGATGCCGTGTCGTTTCATGGAAGAAGACGTTTTTTTTGGAACGCACCTTCATGGTTTTCTGGACAGTCTGTACATACATACTTACATATAGCTTAGCATTTTTATTTATTTGCAGGAACTGCAAAAATCTATACAGGTCTCTGTTTTCAAAACTGCCGACGATGTAGTACAACGACTTCATGAAGATGGTGGAGGTTAGTTTGGAGTTGGACTGTAAGTTGTTTGTCTTGCAGTTTACAACATTCATTTTTCGTTTTTGTTCATTTTTACTGATTGAATTACTCGGATTCTTTTTATGAGCCAATAGAACATTAACACTTCTAGTCGAAATTTTGCAAATTTAGCGCTTTCCATCCTAATGCCTATTCTTTAACCTTCCATACCTTGATTATCAGATTCTAACAAAGATAGTATTTCTACTATTTATCTTAAAATTTTACAGTCACTGAAGTTCTCAATAAAACCCACAGGGAGGTGTCTTCTGCTCTTTAGGTCAAATTGACTTCCATCCAGACGTGATTGCTCAAGTCAGTGCTTTGATATGGGACACGGTAAGTGGAGATTGGACAACTGATCTTCTTGCTTTTTCCAGGTACGAAAAACCCTTCACTTTAAATGAAATATCGATTTTCCTTTTTGCTGTATGTGACCCCATTTTACCAAGTAACCATGTCTTACAACTCTCTACTCTCTTATGTCTAATTCGTTGATGAAAATCAAGTTTTTCTTGCTCTTTAGCTTAGTGCCAGATATTTTGTGGCTCTCTATACGAAAGTTTGTGAAAAGTGTTATAATTGAAAATGTAATCAATTGTTCAAACTGATTGCTTAAATGCTATTTCTCATAAATTTGAAGCTTTTGGCATTTTTTCGTAGCTTGTCTTTAGCCACGCTGGGCGACAAACTGTGAATGTTTCGGATGTGGCATTACTTATGAGGAGGAACAAGCATCTGGTGAGCGTAACTTGTTATAGTCTGCGACAAAGGTTTTTTTTTAGCTTGACACTCTTTGCAAAACTGTCGATATCGATTTGAACGATTATGAACGTCCAATAACGAAACGGCAGCGTACGAATACAAAAGAGTCAACTAAATGTCGAAAAGGTGCTCGTTCTAAAACGAGCAAACCAGGTGCTAGATAAGATCAGGAATAATTTCCATGTTTATTTGGGTTTTTCTTATAATATCGATCTCCTCAGGCACGGCACAGAGTGCTGCCATACAGCGCAGCGGTAGATTGACGCCGCTCTCTAATGTCGATGAAAGTTCTCGTTCCTCACCTTTGGTTAAGACTGAGAAGAAAAATGAGATGGAAGAGAAGGCTTTCAAGGTTGTGAAGACAGGAGGAGAAGTAGGGTTTTTTTTT